CCCAGAACAGAAATCCAGACTGCTCCACAGACTGCGATGTCCACAAAAGCAACTCATGCCGAAGCTGCTGATCAGAACGATGTGAATAACCCTCCATTGGGTGCTGTCCAGCCTCACAGACAGCACTGAACACTTCAGATAAGGCAAACTGTAATTACTACCCCTGTGTTCTTTCCAAATCCACTTCCATTACAACATCTCTATACATCCCTGAAGGCTGTTGGATCATACTGTAGCCACCTCATGCTATAACGTGCTCAGGATGCAGACACATGGATTCTCCAAATGGAGTCATGGTCACTTCACACCGGCAGTAGAGCACTCTGGGCTGGCAAAGCAAGCTGACAATGACTGAAGATAAAATTGCTTCCACTCTTTAAGCTCTTAAAAAAGACAAGCTGTCCTGTAATGCAGCACAGGCAAATAAGTCAACCTCAAAGCACCACAAATAAGTTAAAAAACATCTCCTTGCTAATATATTTTGGCATGGGAAGAGGAGGGAGGGTCTGCCTTCCAGGCCATGTGGAGAGGAGAAATTGCCTGCTGCAATTTCACAAAGTGAAGCCCAAAATATCCACCACAGGTATAACATCAGAATGATCAATGACATTTCAGACAAGTCTAAACAGAGCTCCAGCTACCCCAGTGAGCAATTTAGATATGCATCAGTTGCTTGGAAAGAAGTTATTATCATTGTATTTTGACCGTCCTACAAAAAACAGTATGTTTAAGGAGAAAGAAATCACTGTTCCAAACTATAGAAACCTGAGATATCAGTATGGAAACTCATCAGTGTAAGATCTTTGTCTTAATTTACCTAGATAATTATAGTATGGGTTTTTTTTTATTTAAAGTTGAAAAAATACACACAAAAAGAATTCTCTGAAGAGTAGATGAAATGCCTAGGTGACATTTTGTAAAATTCAAATTATTTTCCATCTAACTTGAAAAAGCTGTAAACATATCTTCAACTTTTTAGATGAAAGCTTTCATGCTTGTTTCCAAAACATGATTAACTTCCTTAAGATCTGCATGACATATTCAGTTTAAAGTTTGCTTTTATTTTTGGTGTGCAAAGATTATTTGCCAGAAGAACTAAAAATAACTGCAGAAAGGAAAACAGACTTGGAAGTTTATGGCTGATTTAAAAAAAAACATATACAACAGTTTAGTGTCTTGATAGCATCCCGTCTTACAAGCCTTTCTAGTAACTTTGTATTTAAGCCTAAACAATACACTAATTATTATGCAAGACAGTCCAAATTTTCTTGTTTCAACATCTTCAGCACAGACTTCACTAACAAGTTCTTTTTACTGAATCATTATAATGTATTTTCTTGATTAATGCAATTATTAGATTCTTCTTTATTTATGGCATTTTCTTTATCCAATAAATTATTTTTAAAGAAAAATTGATATTAAATCCAAAAAAAAAAAGTCTACAGAAAAATTTTTATCCTGTCACTGCAGTGGTGGAGAACCCTGACTAATAGGAAGAAGGATCAAACCTGCTTTACAACATATTTTTGTATTGCAAAATGTGGTGGCGTTACACAGTAACAACAGGAGTTCTCATGAACTACCCTTAACCTTGGCAGCCATGTCCCATCACCACGTTCCATAGAGACCACAGACTCTTCAGAGACAAGCAACAGACCATGAGCAACTAGGAACTAGCACAGTAGTTACTAAGTTTTTATGTGTAAAATCTTTGATGTAATAGTATCCAGCAGCCTAATTCGACACAGAAATGCACAATTTTTTCCTTCTTTCACTATCCCTACATAGAGGTTACACAGTACTGAGGTACATATTCTAGTGCACAACCAACTGTAAGTCAAATGCAAGTATTTCCCCCTCACTGACAATGTTTGCCTCTCAGTATTACTGACATGCCACCTACAAGAACTCTATCAGCCCATTAAAAGCTGTAAGATAAGAAATCTTCTATTTTTGGATTCTTTTTCGAGAATGGAGGATGTACTGAAACATCGTCCTGTGACAAAGGTAATTAAAAAAAATGAAGGTAAAGTGGATTAAATCTGCATATGCACATACATAAATGCAGAGAGACAGAGAGAACATGAGATATCTCCGATTTCATTATGTGATTTGTAAATGCCAGTGCACAGCTGCTTTTTTTTTTTTGGACATACAGCAGATTCTATGAATTCTATTAGTATCCATATGAATGCACCAACTAACTTTCCTCAGCTGTCTACTCAACGAGGACAATGAGTATTATTCACAGGTAACAAGAGGCATGGTATAAAAGCTGGGCAGCAAGGACATGATTCATTAAGGGAAGAACTAAATAATTCATTAAGGCACACTGTGAGGCAGCTTTGCAAGAATTCTCTGATCTGCCAATAACGCCATAACAAATGCCCACATAAACTAGTTAACCTGAGGGGGAACTAGTTAACACTGGCTTCAGAGTCATTCAAGCCGTGGACATTTACAATTTCAAAAAGGCGCTCAATCCTTTCTACAGGTCACACAACAAGCCTGGTATCCACATACTCTTCTGGGGGTGCCTTACATTCTTCCAACAAACTTAGAGTAGCATACTAGCAAGAACACTGGAAACCTAAGCACGGTTGGTTTGTTTTAATAACACAATGTAGTTATTTCCCTCAGTAGTGTGACCAGCAGACATTCTGCTAGGAAGCTTCCATAACTTTACATATCATTTATTTTTCCAAGCCATTTTTAAAATACTTCTTTAAGAAGATGCTATAACACTGATGTGCCCCATATTTAAGCTCATACCATCCAAGAAGCCTACCAAATCACTTCCTCCACCAGCAGCATGAAGACAGAGTGCACCGTGACACCTCATCCATATTTAATATTAGCCTGATAGGGTGTCATTAACATCAAACAGCAATCTAGGTTTGCTACATTAAACATGATCCCCGTGTTAAGAGGGCAATCACAACGTGCCTCCAAGATTAAACCTGTAAGGAATACCCACCAACTTGGACAAGGTGTAATGAGGCCAACTGCACCGAAGAAGCCATTATTCACACGCTGGATTTAAAAAGGGAAAAACCATAAGTAGAAAGGGGGTGGGAAAGCAGGGGAAAAAGAAAAAGCTTCAGTGGGTCATAAGACCAGATATGCAATAAGGCAATCTGTCACAGGGTACTCATATTAATAACTGTTGTGTCAAAACTGAACATTCAAAAGAAAAGACAAACCTTCCTTTATGTTTCATGAAATGTAAGCCCACAGAATTAATAATTCATGAGATGAAGCAAAAAATATCAGATTTGGATATAAATATTAACAGAACACTGTCAACCTGTTTAGAACCAATTCTGACTGTCCTACCTTACCATTATCAACATAGAAGGAAATATTCTTCAAAAGCTCAAAAAAAAAAACCCACCCCATAAAACAAACAACCCCAGTATGAAAGTCATGAATTAATAAATTAACATACCCTATTCATGTAGGTCCTAAGCAAAAGAGCCGAACTCTGTTCCGTGCCTGGCTATTCCTGAGCGAGCGCTGACTGGCATTATTTGTTCCTAGAGTTAAGCTTCGTTGACAGCAATTATGCTGATGTTCACATAAGTAAAAACACCAGAGGGACATACTAAAACCAAGATCCAGTGGAAAAAGGGTAGGAATAGAGGGGAAGTAGTTGTCAGATGACAAGCAAAGATGACAAAAGCCAGATAAAAGTTACTATAAGTTTCAGAATACAAAGTTTATACAACAGCTCTTGGATAAATTTTTCTAATTAGCCGCAGAACAGGCATTTAAAAACTAAAAAGGAAAGCAATTAACCCATAATGCACAGCCACTTATCAGTAAGTTCACTGCATGTGATTTCAACCAAAAATGAAACGCGTTTTCAGAATATGTTAGTCTCAAGATAAAGAAATATTTAAGCAGATCTATAAAATAATGCCATTATTTCCACTTTAATCTGTATTTTGTTTGCTGAAGTAGGTAGTTGAAGTTCAAGATCTAGAAGAAGCGTCTGCCCTATGATGCTAGCCCTTCTCAGCGTTCTCTGGTATTATAGAGAATAAAATATTGGAGCACAGAACACAAAACTCAATCGTGCCAAAAACCAAAAAATGTATTGTTCTAAATGGTGGTGACAATGCTTTCCTTCATAGCTTTTTTTCTTCTCTGCAGCACTAATATAATATCAGTCTAGTTATGTCCTCACCTGCACCTGCATTCTGGGCAACAGTGTTAAAAACACTTACACACCTCAATATAGGGCATGCATTTAAAAAAGTCAGTCCAAACACTCTACTTATCTCCACAGTCCCTGGCATTTTTACTGCATTTCACCCAGCGATTAGAACGCAGAATGAAAAGCTAAAGAATTTGAACATTACAAGCTTTTATTTTTTAACTTAATTCCTACCTTTATCATTCTAGAAAGATCTCCAGCATCAGCTAATTCCAGCACTATGTTCAGTTCATTGTCTTCGATGAATGAAGCATAATATTTAATTACATTTGGATGATTCAGTTGCTAAGAAAGCAGAATAACAATGCATATTTTACTGTAAAGCACATCTTACATTTTAAGACTGACAAGTGCAACATTTCTATCTAAGCAAACAAAACAACCCCTAAAACCTATTGCAGTATGATACGAATAGTATATGTTTATGAGAAACATTTACAGGTAAACATTTTGCAATAACATGATGGCATTTTAGGATCAACATGGTTACTAAAATTGCAATTTCAGAGGGATTTTGCTTCAATATATTTATGCAATAGCATGCTAAAATCTAACAGTAAAGTCAATTTTTAAAACCAGTATTTCACTGTACACAGGATAGTTATTTACAATACTGTGGTTTTAGCAGAAACTTCTACTTGAAATGTTACCCAATTTTCTATAGGATTTACTTCTCAATGTTAAGTTTTAAAGCAACAAAGATTACAAAATTCCTTAAATGAGGCTTATAAAAACTCTACACAGACAACAGTGGACACCTTAAGTCTATACATATGAAAAACTTTATACACTTTGATGATGGCTGCACATTTTTTTAAACAAATATTTTACCTTAAGAAGATCTATTTCTTTGATGCAGTCAGCACGGGCTTTGGCATCCATTAAATCAAATATCTATGCACAAGAGAGAAGACATTTTTATTAAGTGAAAAAATTATAGCAAATTGAGTGATTATCATTATTTCATGGCATCCATAAAGCAACCAGATTTATACATTTCATGGCAAGACGTAACACTGCAGTAAGAAATAGTCCTAAAGCTCTGATGTACTGAATCACCGCCATATCGATTCTTTTAGCCCCCTCCCTTGTAGGAAACAAGTCCGTTATAAGTACAAGCTTTCTAATGACTTAATTGCCACCTCCGCGTACTTGTTCAAACACACAGCAATAATGCAGTACATCTCCTTCAAGCTGGTTCTAATCCAAGTGTCAGCTTCCTCTCCTCTTCCTGCCACATCATTGTAACAAACCAATTCCTTCTAGTACTGAGCGTACCTCTTCTCCTAGTCTCTTGCTACAGTCTTCCTTTTCTCTTCTAAATAATGCACACACTCTCTCTCTTCCAGGACCAAAACTTCATTGTCACCTCCAATTCTTTCTCTCGTTTCCTTCCCTTCAGCAAGCTAAGAAGTGATTTGGGTTCTGTAATTTGTTTACTAGAGAACTTTCTTCTAGTCCCATGCAGATTTCTTTAAACTGAAAGAGGGTATGTCTAGATTAGATACCAGGAACAAATTCTTCATGGAGAGGGTGGTGAGGCACTGGCACAGGTTGCCCAGAGAAGCTGTGGATGCCCCATCCCTGGAAGTGTTCAAGGCCAGGCTGGAGGAGGTTTTGAGCAACCTGGTCTAGTGGAAGGTATCACTGCCCACAGCATGGGGGTTGGAACTAGATGATCCTTAAGGTCCCTTCCAACCCAAACCACTCTATGATTCTATGATAATGATTTTTCTAGGAAAAACTTAGTGAAGTTCTAAATATGAGAGGTAGCACGTTAAATGAGGAAGTACTGGGAAGGTATGAGATCGTAATTGTCTTTCCCTGTAACCTAAGAGTCCAGCAAATGGAAAATTTTATACCCCCTCTCACACAAACAATCAGTGAAAGTGTTTTTACAAGGAGCAGGGAAAAAAAGGGACAGATATAGGGCCACATCTTGAAGCTTCACATTTCTGCAAGGTCTAGGTGATCATGAGATAAGAACATTCCTTATAAATGATACAGAGATTAGACATAGACAGAACTCCAAACACACTGGAGAACCCAATCAAGGCTGCAGACAGAATTTTAGACTGAAAAATACATGCAAATTAACCACCTTTAAACTTTGGGGAAATTACTCAAAGCACAATTTCAACTTTCAAAACCTGAAGAGTTTCATTGCATAAAAAAACAGGGCAGTTTGCACCCATTAATGACTGCCCTAACACACCAGGAGGCTTATTAACTCACCTACACACCAAAATGAGCAACTTGTGCGAGCAATTTTCTTTTTTTAAACAAGCCGCTGACAGGAACATATCTCAGTACCTCTCACAGAGGAATAACAAACCAACAAAAATAAAGTCCTAGACTCAGGAGTGTGTAAGACCTCGGATCAAGGCACAGGAAGAAAGACAAAATTTGTTTGTATATTCTGCCTGGTATTTCCGGTACATCTAATTTGTTAACAGTCCAGAGTAGCTTAGACCAATCAGCTGCTCCCACGGAAGGACAGGCTTAAGTTTTGTAAACATGACTCCCTATCCTTTTGCTACACTTCATACAGCAGAGCAGCAAGTTTGTCATGGCTTCAGCTAAACTGAATATTTCAAACATAACATCAATAAAAAAGTAAGACAGAAAAACTGAGACTTCTTTGATCCTCACATACACAAAGACAGAAAATCTGAAATTTTACTGTATGCCATTCTTGAGGTTCTCCGTTAAGACTTTGGTCCAGATCTAACCTCAAAAAAATTAGCATTTCCAGAAACCCAGAATTTCACTTTCACCAACACTAACCTCCTCCATCAATAAACGCCCAGAGGAAAACAAACACAAAATAACACGGGGGGGGAGTGTATCAACCCCATGGCCTCTGAAGAACCTCTGCCTTATCATAGCAGATTCAAACAGCTTCCAAAATAGATTTCTTTCTAAATAGATTATCTTTCCATTTTGCTGAACTGCTGTAGCTCAGATGAGAGGCCCCTAGTCTAGTAAGTCATGTCAGCTCACAAGGAGGCTACTGTAAACACAACAAGAAAACCTCTATGCTTCATCACCAAAAGATGACTTCAACACTGAAGAACGTCTTATACTGAAAAATGGATGTCACATTGAAAGATTTTAAGAGCTTAATAACACCCTTTCAAGTGCATGTCAAAATCACACCTGGCAGCCATCAGAAGGCTTGTTTCATAGGAGCTGCCACAGACCAGATGACCACACAGGAGAAGCTGTCCTTCGCCTGTGGATTAATACAGTCTGGCCAATATGAAGAGATGTCAGTACTTCCACCACAACTGCAACACCTTACAGCTTTGCACGCAGACTAATTCCATCTTCAGCTGCTACTACTCAGCAAGCCAACCTGAGAGGTCAGCTACGTTCCACTCGCTCTAGCATGCGTGTTGCACACAGATTGATCTCACACACATACAATCTGTAGCCCTATAAACATACTACTGCCACTGCTATTAGCAGGCCGCACAACTTAGAGTGTCTGAGAAACATAAGGCCTAAAGACCTTCCATGTTTTGACTGGACTTCACTTGGCCTGAACTTATTTTTTGAGCTTGGATTTAGCTGTAGCAGCTTATGCCTTGCAGCTGAGAGACTTAAGAAAATGATTACAGGCAGATGACTTGTGTGTAACTTGTTTTTAGATTCAGCTTTGTGCAGCTGCACAGTCTTAAGGAAATTATAGCCAGTACAATAAAGGACTGCAAAACCAGTGTGATTAACATTGGTAAGCTTTTGGACCACTCCAAAGCATTAGCAACTGACTGCTTGAAAGCACGCAGCATATCCCACATAGAGACACCACCAGCATCCTCCTCCCAGCATTGCTCAGGACTCTGGAAGGGTGAGCCTGCACAGGGTCGATGTGAAGCAGCTTGTGTACATCGATTATTGGGAGCTAGCAGTAATTAGACAAGTGTTAGCATCACTGTAATCGGCTAACAATAAAAAATGGCTGCATTTTGATTAGACTGCTAGAGCATTAATTAGTCTAACAATAAATTCTAATTCTTGACTCCACTTATTAGATCAGGATCACAGGGTAATTCAGGTTGGATGTGCATTTCTCTACTCAGCACAAATTGCAGTGTAATATACTCTTATTTAAAATTTAATTATTTTTCCCCTATTTCTGTTTTCAAGGACTATGACAAGATTAACATTTTTACAAAGGAATTATGCTTGCTATGGAAAACCTAGTAATAAGCCAAAATTACATTAAGTGTTTTTATGATGTGCCAGTTTTTGTGAAGAGTGTAATCAAAAAAATCTCACTGCAGAAAGCACTATACCTTAGTTGGCAATTACGGTGAAATTCCTGAAAACAATTAGGCGAATACAGCTGAAGAGACTTAAGAGAGCATTTTAAAAGCCCTTAGCTTTTTCCCCCCCCCCACTTAGCAACAACACTAAATGAAACAAGAAGTCCATTTTTAGCTCTCAGTTTTTCATCTCCTACTGCAATCAACAGCATGAAGCATAGGACAAGATACCTTGATACTTATTCCAAAATATTCCTCTCTGCGTGCTCTACACCTAAGGGATCTCTGGTAGCTCTGCATTGAATCACTTCTGCAGTACCTTCATAGAGCATAGATTATAATTTTATTCTTTCAGTATTCTAGAGCTATCAGTCATAAGTACTGTTAAGAGATACCAATATTTTTAGAATAGTTTCTAAGCTACTGTAAGATAATGAGCAGCAACTGTTCCCTGTGCAGATGTGCAAACTGAACAAAAAGGTTGCAATACATGAAATCAACATCCTGAATGAGGTTCTTGCTAGAGCTTCTAGAGGGCTATGAGCAGAGCAAGGAGGTTTAGAAACATTTAACCACCAGATGGAAAACATCAGCCCTTAAGGTAGGCTGTATCTGCTCGATTACCAGCTACCAACTTAACTCATCTCAGAAGCCTCATGCCAAGATGGGAATCTAATCAACTGAAAGCCATCGTTTTCCAAGTTTTCCCTCAGTATTGAAAAGGATAAAGGTCTTTCTAATCTCACTATTTAAATGGTAACTTAATCTATGTCTGTTTGAAATTCTGCATAAAATAAAAATACCAACAAGTATTTTCAAAGCAAAACACAAACAAGATTGCCGTAACATAAACCTACAGACAAGCAAGCAAAATAATGACTTGAATGCACATAAATATTGAGATATGATACTGCACAGCAACAACGAGCATTAGAGTATTTTGCCACACAGCACTGCTGTGCTGAGACAATAGCGCTTCATGGAAGTATGAAATTACAAGTGCTTTCCTAAGATTAATTATCTCTAATTCAGGCCTGAAGTAGCAATCCACTGACAATGCACAAAGAATAATGACTGTAAGTGCTAGATAAAAGGATTCATTGTCTGAATCATTAACACAGGGTCCTGCAAATCTGGAATGCAAGGTGGAAAATGTAAGGCAGAAATGTAATGACTCCGAAATTTTGTTGAAATACGCAGTTTCATATAATAATTTAAATTCTAAGTAGCTAAGGTTTACTTTAAAAATAGCTCAAAGTGAACTCATACAGCCTTAGAGTCACTGACTTCAGACATTCACAACTCTTTTGCCCTTTAAGGACATATTATCAGCATTTATTCCTGTGTCTTGCAGTTGTTTACACCCCCCTCAGAAGCACTGGACCTGACCACTGGAGCACTCACTGCTCAGAATGCCACGCCGTACCTCAGGGTCTTGATGGTGCTGTTATAAGGGTTCCTTACGGTGGCAGCAGCAGAGGTGTACTGCTTCTTCCTCAGGCGTGATCTTTCAGTATAGTCTGGACCTCAGGCATATTACGTAAAGAAACTCACCTAGAAGCTACTCAAACTTACATTGCTATGCTCTTAGTTCATCTGCGGTTGATCTTTCCTGATGTTTCTTTGACTCCAATTGTAGTTTAGACATTATTAAAAGCAATGAAGATTTGGTTTTTAATTCTGGTTTTATTTAGATAATCAACAGCATGTCAAAAAAATATCTCCATGGAAAAAGAGAGAACCTTATTATTTTCAAAAACCACTTCCCTAATTGCAACAAGGCAAAACACACATGGGAAGATGAAGCACAAAGGGTACAATGACAAGGAAAAGACCCAACATACTATTTTGTGTATTCTGCTGGTTAAATTACTAAGAAGAAATCGCAAATTAAACAGTTTTCACTCCGCTACATATCCTACTGGAAACCAATTTGAGAATACTACTTCATGTCATCTCGATTCAGCAGCAACTATAGATTCAGAAAGAGTGGTTTCTGTCACCATCTGTTTGTCCTTCCTCCCTCAGCATCTTACTGCCACTTGCTTCTGTTCACATTGAGTTCCACAAACACACGTTTTCTACACACTAATATAACATTTATCAATATTGTACATATTTCAGCCAAATAAAATTTTAATAGCAGAAAATAAACACTCTGGTTGGAAAGCTTCATAAGAACGCAAAACTGGCAATCCTTTTGGAACAAATAATGGCCTGAGATCCAGTAACTTTTAAGGAGAAATAACAAGAATTCTAAGCCACATGAAACCTTGAAGGTAGAGACAAACATGAGGAATCACTGACCAAACAGACATAAAGAAAACACCTACACACCCAACCCAGACAGGAAAATGAAACGGGGAGGGGGTGGAATGGACACAACTTGCAAGATCAGAGAGGAAGGCACGTAGTAGTTAAGATGTGAGATGAGAAAGGGCACAAAATGGGAAAGCAGAAGAAAGTCCACATCCCGGTTACATTATTCAACACAAGGTACAGCATTTAGATACGCTGTCTCAATCCATGCACAGGTCTAAAATAGAAGAGAGTCTCTCCCTCATGAGAGAAAGAAGCATTCCTCCTCTTTTGTCTCATTAATGGAAGATCAGCATGGACATCAGAAAAAAAGACAGGATTTTAATTTGAATAAAAGAAAATATTACTGAAATTAAAAGCAAGCCTCAAGAGCCCCGCAGAAAAGCAATCACTTCTCACCAATAGAGAGGTCTTTTATAGTGAAATTATTGTGACTATATTTAACAAAAACATTTCCAGGAAAACTTGGGGAAGGCCACAGAAGCACAGTAACAATTTAGATGGTCTTCTGTCCAAATGGAACAGCTTTAGATGTCAACTATGCCAGCTGAAACAGTGGTGCCAAACGCTCAGTGCTGCCACAAGCCTTTTGAACTCTAGGCAATACTTCATGGTACACTTCAGAATTTTCTTCCCTTACAGGCTAACCACATCCCACATTCCATTCAGATAAGAGTCTTCTATGTATATCCAGCCTTCATATGGGAAGTGATTATACAAACCACAGAACACAGCCTGTCCTGATGAGCACTAGGCAGTAACATTCAATGGGAAACCAACAGCATATGCATGATACCTTAAGCCAAATGGAACACTACAAGGATAAAGCCACTTGGGAGAGCCACGACTCTTCAACCCTATTTCTTAGCAACCACCAAGTATATCCTCAGAAATTTATTAAATGGCTGAACAAGAAAGCTTTTCTGCTACAGAAACTATCACCCATCCATGAACAGCATAGTGTCTTCTTTATTAGTCGAAAACATCTTTTGTCAAATTAGGAAATTTGATGTGAGGGTACAGCTATACACACTGACTCATGAAATACTGCTAAGACTACACACGCTATAATGCTCCTCTATTTTCAATGCAAACACCATTATAAAAATTTCATAGTTAACAGTGAAAGGCTGGGCTTTATGACTTTCTTCAAGTAACCAGGCATTCCACATCCACCTTAATTGACACGCATTTCAAGTCAAATTTGACCTTTTAGGTTTCTCATGCACTGAAAATGAAGGGAGAATTAGCCTAATGTTTTAAGACTGTTGATCAAAGTTCTTGGAATATATTTCAGCTTTTGAAGTAATATGCATCCAGCAGTCTTCCCAGAAGGGGGAACCAAGTCTCTTTTTTCATGACTGCCAGGACTGGTTCTGTCTCCTGGTGCTGCAAAGCACAGGAAATCACAGAAATGGAACAGCAAGTCAAGATATGACAGAAAATTTACAGTGGATGCATTAGCAAAGGAAAAAAAATACTGAAATGCAGAAACACTGGAAAAGAATCTATGAAATCTGACATGTTATTTTGCAAAACACAAAGGTAACAAAAAAAAACCACATTCAGAATTGATGGCAGTACTCCTTTAAGGAATACACTAAACATATCTCAAGAGATCAGAACTGAAACAACTATTTTAGTTTCAATTTCAAAACTAAACACAGTTTCGGTTTTTTTCAGGTTAATTT